AGAACACTTGGCTGCAGGGACATATTCCCATTGTTCCTGCCCAGGTCTCAGGATTCAAACAGTGTTGTCTTTGCCCAGAGCTGTTCCTTCAGCTGGCTTGGGAGGGCCATTTGGCCTCTGGACCCACACTCTGGCTCCTTTATTAGGACTGCTGGGTCCAAACTCTTTTTATCCACAAATGGAGGCAATTTGAAGTGGATATTCTTTCTTCACAATTATTTTTTCAATTGCGATATCAATATTTCTTCTACCTTGTCATGGGGTTGAACAATCAAATCTTGTTCACTATTGTTTAACAGACTTACTTCAATTTCTCCTTGATAATCTGCATCAATTCCTCCTCCCGTGACATGAACCCTTTGCAAGGCCAAGCTCCAGTGAGCAGTTATCAAACCAAAGTGTCCTGGAGGAATCTGAATTCTTATTCCTGTATTGTAAACTGTCATTTGCTTCTGATTTCTCCTAATGAATTCCAGTGCATGAAGGTCCAGGCCTGCAGCCTCTGGGGTGGCCCTGGCAGGGGCCATCACACCCAGAACAATTTCCCAGGCAGTCCAAGTCTCACTGTCCATGGCTGTGTTTGCAAATTGGGTGCAGCCGTGCACACCCAGGGGTTTCCATTTCCCAGTGGGCCCATTGTTAAGGGCATGGAGCCCATCTGGGAGATGGGTTCTCCACCGGGACAGGTTCCCATCTCCTCATTTTATCAACTGCTCTTTTAACAATTGTTCAACCAATCCTGTAGCTTGTAGATAGTGTGATACATGAAAAACCCAGCAGTCTTAATCACTGTGTTTTTCACAGGAACAGACAAAGCATTCCACATCACAGCATTGCCAAACCCTATAAAAATTGCCAGTTTTATCCCTTCCTCCTTTATTCCTTGTATACAGTTCACAAAGTTTACCATTGACATTCGGGTCTTTGCTAGTCCTTTTTTGTAGGGTATTTTAGTGTTACAGTGAGCAGCCAAAGGTAATGTCATGGGGTAGCTTTACCTTTAAGACAGCTTAGAGGGAGAGAAAGTTGAAGCTGCTGGTGGCTGATGGGAGTTTTTCCTCCCGATCAATTATCAGTCATTTCCAAGAATTGACAGCAGATCTGACTATTAAAAAGTGAATTCCACTTGTAAACACCCCCTTAAGAAGTTGTAAGAGACGGTCCGAAGATTCCCTCATCTGTCTCACAACCGTCTCAAGGACAGAGACTGAGACCCTGAATATCACAAGGGACTTGGTTTGGGGGTTTGGGCCTAGCTGAGATGGATGTTTGCTCAGTGATTGTTTGCAGGAGGTTGCACGGTACACTGCTCTCGTTCCTGCTGGTGAGCAGAGGCTTGGTAACCTGCGCAACGGGTTTTCCACGACTCATGGCTCTCATTCCTGCTGGTGAGCAGAGGCTTGTGCCTGGTACCCTGTGCAATGGGTTTTCCACAACACCTTGTCCTTGTTCCTGCTGGTGAGCAAAGACTTGCAAGACATGGATCGCTCTGTACCCTACACCTGCTCCCTGCGCAATGGAATTTCATTACAATGATCATCAATCTCATCTGGTTTTGGCCCTGCGCCCCTCGCTTTGCAAAAGACTATAAAATTATACCCCAAACTTACCTTCCTTTGAGATCTCCCCAACGGACAGAAGACTCTGCGTCGTTGGACGGCTGAGTGGACTTCGACGTTGGTAGCTATAATCCCCTTACTCTCTTTTCCTTATGCTTTGCTTTCTCTTTTCTTTCCCTCTATCGCATATTAGTGCTGATGAGCACTCAATAAACTGTGTTTTCTTGTTTAAGTCCTTGGTTTGCTGATAATCTTTTGTACTCTAAGACCGGCTAAAAGAACCACATCACGAATCCCACCTTGCGGATCGTGACATAAATTGGCGTCACGGACAGGATTCTGAGAGACAGAAGGGGTTGCAGGTTGTTGTGCAGTCTGTATCAGGGGAAGGACGTTTCGCTTCAGCCGCACCTAGCCTGCCACGCTGGTGAGCAGTGTCTAGAAAGCAAGGGAGGCGACTCGAATTTCTCACAAACTGCACACGCCCAGGTGAAAAGCACCCCTACACTCATTTGAAGGCTCTGTCTTCAGAATTTTACACGGGATCTTTGAGTACAAAAGGTGGGACTTACTGGTTTTTTATATTTTGACTGCTTGGTGTAGCGGAGAGTCTGAATTTTAACATAAAGGTGTGCCTCCCAAGCAGATTTGGTCTCTCCACCCACGGCAGGGGGGAACGCAGCGTTGGCTGCGTCTGATGTAGTGTGAGTTTTACCTCCCTGTAGTGGTTCTGTGTACTGTTATGTGTTTTTGATGAATTTTGACTGCTTGGTGTAGTAAAGAGACAACTTGAATTTTAACATAAAGGGGTGCCTCCCAAGCAGATTTTGTCTCTTCATCGATACAGGGACGCGAAGGGTGACGTGGCAAAGGCTGCGTCTGTGCGTAACTTAAGTCTTACCTCCCTGTAGTGGTACTGAACCCTTCACACACACAAACATGAGTGAACACTCTGAAAACTCTAGTATAAAAGATAAAGCTGCATTCATTGCTTTGTTAGCAAAACACAATGCTAAGCCCTCCCCAGCTGGGGAAGAATGGGCTCAAAATAATTGGTTCAACCTGGAAAATGTAACTGATAGAATTTGCTCCCTGCAACATGAGGCAAAGTTCAAATTTGGCCGTAATAAAACCATAATTTGTTCTGTCTTGGGAGCTTGCCTTACGTCGGCTGTAGAGGCTCACACGAGACGAAGGCAGGAAGAGAATGTAATTATACAATCCCTACAAAATTTAGTTGAAAGTTTGCAAAATGAAATTAATTTCTTACGAACTGCTCTGAGTGAGGAGTGTGCCAAAAATTCACAGTCTGCTGATTCCTTTAAGGAGTCGTTGGAAAAAGAAACTCCTCAGATAAATCACATATATCCTCAAGCAGAATTACATTTGGAAAAAATTGTGGTGAAAACTGTTGCTCCCAAATAAGACCTTTGATTAAAACAGAATATAACTATATCAATGATGAAGATCTTGATCCACATATAACCACTAAAGAAATCCCGTACACTGCTACTGAATTGGCTAAGTTAAAAAAGGAGTATGGGCGTCTCCCTCACGAGTCAGAGACAGAATACGTATTTCGAGTGTCTCTCACAGGGGGAGATCAAATTCGATTATCTGAACAGGAAGCAAGTGGTTATTGGGGACATGGTGTTTTCTTAACAACAGGAGATAACCGCAACCCATGGTCCCTAACACAGCGAGCTGCATATTGGGCAGGGGGACTTAACCCCCTGGAAAGGGGAGATCCTGTAGCTCTAACCGGCTCCCCAGACCAAATTCTAGAAAACATTCATAAGGCAGCTTGTCTACAACTGATTCATGAAAGAAAATTAATTGTTGGTTCTGAATCACCAATGTTGCTACCCGTGAAGGCTGAAATTATGACTCCTTTAATTCGTGGCCTTCCAGAATCGCTTAAACCCACTGCTATCCTCCTCCAGAAAACCATAGCTGCCATAAGCCCAATAGAAAGACTGGACAGGCTTCTGGAAAACCCAAATAATAAAAGTAGATGGTGTTGATCCTAGAGTAGAAAAAATTACACAACAACAACCAATTGCATTAAAAGGCCCTTTTGAAATTACTAAGACAGCCACTGCTGGGACTCTCCACCCTGACGGGGTGGCCCAGAGGGCCACAGTGAGGAAGTGGTATGCCCAGATTGAACATGACTCTAACATCTTCTCAATAACAGAAGGGCTGTAAAAAACCCCAGAGAAAAAGCTAGAAAGAGACAAAGCGTGTTGATAATTAGAAACCCCTCCCAACATAAAAACAGAAAAGGGTAGGCTGATTTCTAGCCTACAATATTGGTGGAACTTGGGGGTGAAGAAAGGGGTACCGAAGGGTTTAATGGTTAACCTGCCGCTTGAAAAATTAAGTAAATTGGTCTCTCAGTGGCAGGACTCCAGCCCCATTGTACCAAGCGCTCCACATTGCCCTCAACTGATTCTGGGCAGTGGGCCAAAGCAACACCACTCACAGGTTCTGGACAGTGAGCAAAAACAATCAGCAAACTCTTGGTTCACTGATACCTCTGCCAAACCAGAGGGAGAGGTGTGGAGGTGCGGGGCAGTAGCCTTCCACCTTTCCTCTGCTGAACAAATCATTACTGAGGGAGAAAGCAGCACTCAGGCTGCAGAGCTGAGAGCTGTTTGGAGTGTTTTCCAGCGTGAGGCACAGAATACCTCTCCTGTCTGTATCTACACTAACTCCTATGCTGTGTTCAAGGGATATACTAAGTGGCTTCCTTTTTGGCAACAAAAGGACTGGGAAGTAAACAGAATTCCAGTATGGCAAAAGGAAAAGTGGCAAGAAATTCTACGCTTTCTGCTGGTAAGAGTGGGGATTATATCTTGGTTAGTCCAAACTGAAACTTTTAAAAGAACTACAGGAGAATATTCATGGGTAACCTCCGATGCCCTGGGGATAGAGCATTGGATAAACACCCACTGGATAATTCCATCATTTTAATCTCCTGCCCCTATGTGGCAGACTCTGTTTTGTTTATTTTCTACAGAAGAACACCGAGGGACATGAAGATCAGATAAACCATGAACTTATAGATTTAAAATAAATGCTGTAACAAAGCCTATATTAAGTGTGATAATCACATACCATGGTGTAAATACCCCTTTTGTGCTGAATGGTAAAACTAACGTTTTCCCTTTTTTCTGTTAACTCAAGGTGATGATGTTTCAATACGCTGCAGACTGAGTACCAGATCCCACACTGAGCCTGTACACAGTCAAGTTGCCGGATCTCGTGGCCAGGTTATATCTTGTGAAACTCGGAATCAAGATTGTTGGCTGAATTTAACGGCTGTACAATTGTCCTCCAAAGTCGTGTGTGGTAAAAACAATACCAAATATTGGGGAGAGCTTAATGTTCAGGTTGTACTACCTACCACACAGCCACCAATTAGATTGACTCCAAAAATTTCTGAAATTGGACCCTATGTAATCAGGAAAACTGGCCAACAACAAATGCTATTTAATCCAGCATGGTCTATCAAACAAGTCAAATTACTAATGCAAAACAATGTCTCAGAGATTCAGCCAGCTTGTTCACCTTTTTTGCAAACTTCCTTTGAGGGGTGGACAACCTGGTTGCGAAAGCGAAATTCTTTTCACAAACGGATGACAAGAGATATAACCGGTGTCGTGGGATCAGGACTAGGAATTTTGAATAGTATTGATTCAGAAGTACTGATGAATAAATTGGCTGTTGCAACTAAAGATTTGACCAAAATACAACAACCACTGAGGTCATCTTTAACTGCTTTGGGAACCCAACAGTGGTTGCTATCAAACATATTACCAAATTGGGAAAGGGTAAACGTAGATGATCACAAATTAATAATTGATGCACTCAGTGCTACCCAAAACAATGTTTCTCTGGCTCTTAGCTGTATTCAGGCCCAGTTGTGGATGCAGTC